CAAAAGAATTAGAAACCAGTATTCAAGGCCAGGCTCGGTGGCTCACACCTGTAATCCCAGCACTTTGGGAGGCTGAGGCGAGAAGATCACCAGGTCAGGAGTTTGAGACCAGTCTGTCCAAGATGGTGAAACCCTGTCTCTACTAAAAATATAAAAATTAGCCAGGCATGGTGGCAGGTGCCTGTAATCTCACCTATTCGGGAGGCTGAGGCAGGAGAATCACTTGAACCTGGGAGACAGAGGTTGCAGTGAGCCGAGATTACACTACTACCCTCTAGCCTGGGTCACAGAACAAGACTCCACCTCAAAAAAAGAAAAAAGAAACTGGTGTTCAAATAAAACTGGTACCTGAATGTTTACTGCAGCACTGTTCACAATACTAAAAGGCAAAAATAACCTAAACATCCATCAACAGATGACTGGATAAACACACTCTGGGATATACAATGGAATATTATTCAGTCATAAAAAGAAATGAAGGCTGGGCACAGTGGCTCACGCCTGTAATCCCAGCACTTTGCAGGGCCAAGTCGGGTGGATCACCTGAGGTCAGGAGTTCAAGGCTAACCTGGCCAACATGGTGAAACCCCATCTCTACTAAGGATACAAAATTAGCTGGGCGTAGTGGAGCATACCTGTAATCCCAGCTACTTGGGAGGCTGAAGCAGGAGAATTGTTTGAACCCGGGAGGCGGAGGTTGCAGTGAGCAGAGATCATGCCATTGCACTGTAGCCTGGGTGATAAGAGTGAAACTCCACCTAGGCTGGTCACCTGTAATTCCAGCACTTTGAGAGGCCAAGAGTGGGCAGATTACGAGGTCAGGAGATAGAAACCATCCTGGCTGAAACGCTGTCTCTATTTAAAAAAAAAAAAAAAAAGAGCAAAACTCCATCTCAAGAAAAAAGGAAGAAAAAGAAATGAAGTACTGATAATGTGCTGCAAAATGGATGAGGCTTCAACATTTTGTATGAAGCGAACGATGTTAGACACAAATGGTCACATATTGTATGACTCCTTTTATATAAAAGAGCCAGAATAGACACATCCATACAGACAGTAAGCAGATTCATGGCTGCCAGAGCTGGGGGTAGGAAGAAAAGGGAAATGACTGCTTAATGGGTACAAAGGTTCCTTTTAAGGTGATAAAAATGGTCTGCAAGTAGATAGAGTGTGCAGGTACTAAACACCAGTCCACTGTACACTTTAAAATGGTTAAAATCTTCAATTTTATGTTGTGGCATGAATTTTATCTCTTTTTTTTTTTCCTTCTGTGAGATAGGGTCTTCCTCTGTCACCCAGGCTGGCGTGCAGTGGCGTGAGTGATTTCAGCTCACTGCAACCTCCTGGGTTCAAGCAATTCTCCAGCCTCAGGCTCCCATGTAGCTGGGACTACAGGCCCAGGCCACCAACACCCAGTCAATTTTTGTATTTTCTTTTTAGTAGAGATGGGGTTTTTCCATATTGGCCAGGCTGGTCTCAAACTCCTGGCCTCAAGGGATCTGTCCACCTCAGCCTCCCAAAGTGCTGGGATTACAGATGTGAGACACTGCATCTGGTTTATTTTATCTCAATTAAAAAAAAACAACACACAACCCCATACTAGAAGTTGGGTGAGTTACGTCGCCTCTCTGAACCTATAAAAGGGGTGGTGACCGCATAGGTTGGTTGTGAGGATCCATGCGATGTGTATAAAGTGCCTGGCAGGGGGTCCAGCACGTAGAAAGAGAACAGTAAGAAAGGAAGCCATAGCCACTGCGATGCCAATGATCCGGGGACACTGCCAAGGCCAACTCACCTGGAAGTCGTGGGGTTTCCATGTTGTCAGATTATTCTTTTTTTTTTTTTTGACACAGAGTTTCGCTCATGTTTCCCAGGCTGGAGTGCAATGGCGTGATCTCGGCTCACCGCAACCTCCGCCTCCTGGGTTCAGGCAATTCTCCTGCCTCAGCCTCCTGAGTAGCTGGGATTACAGGCACATGCCACCATGCCCAGCTAATTTTTTTTTTTTTTATTTTAATAGAGATGGGGGTTTCACCATGTTGACCAGGATGGTCTCGATCTCTTGACCTTGTGATCCACCCGCCTCGGCCTCCCAAAGTGCTGGGATTACAGGCTTGAGCTACCGCGCCCGGCTGTCAGATTATTCTTTTAATTAAACAGTAGGAACAACAAAAAGACATGGTGGGAGAGGTGCTGTATATATGAAAGATAAAAGAAGAGGGTGGCTCAACTACATTTACAGCAGAGTGATCTCTATACTGTATTTATAGAACAGTTCTATCCTGTGTTAAGGTAGTGGACGCAAACAATGAACTCTGAGGGAGAGAAGGTGTCTTCGCCAGGAGTCCACTGTGGAATGACGGAAAGCTCTTGCTTGTTCTGCCTCCTCTTGCGGCCTGCAGACATGGGCTCTTGGCTGAGCCCTGTTTTATGGAGCAGAAAGGGCTGTAGGTAGATGAGAAGATCTCATCCCTGCTTCCTATCTTTTTTTTTTTTTTTTTTGAGACAGAGTTTTGCTCTTGTTGCCCAGTCTGGAGTGCAGTGGCACCATCTCAGCACACTGCAGCCTCTGCCGCCTGGGTTCAAAGAATTCTCCTGCCTCAGCCTCCCAGGTACCTGGGATTACAGCACCCACCACCATGCCCGGTTAATTTTTGTATTTTTAGTAGAGACGGGGTTTCATCATCTTGGCCAGGCTGATATTGAACTCCTACCTCAGGTGATCCACCTGCCTCCACCTCCCAAAGTGTTGAGATTACAAGCGTGAGCCACCGTGCCTGGCCTGTCTTTCTGAAAGCAGATTTAAAAACCGAAGATTGACAAGTCGGGGGGAGGCAAGAACCCAGCTCTTCTTGTCTCAGAATAATTTGGTACCAAATTAGCAGATCTCCAAACTTCCTGAGGCAAGGTGACCCCCCTCACTGTGGCCCACAATGGCCTGGGGAGAGAGGAGGAGGGAAGAATAGGATTTCAGGCTGTCATGGAAACTTTTCTTCCTTTTGGTCTCTGGAGCATATGGCAGGTGCCCTGAAAAATCCGTTCCTGCTGCCCCAGGGCTGTGCTGCCCTCAGACATGTGGGTGGGGGCGTCTGCCTCTCAGTCTGAAATGCCCCCTCCCTCCACCACAGTGGCAGCAGCACAAAGGAGTCTCCAGTGTGTGCCTCACGTCCCAGCTCCCCAGACAATCGGGGAGAGCTCCCATGGCCCCATGGAAATATAAGTCCCCTGCCCCAGCAGGCCTCGATGCATCCCACAGGTCATAGACAACACCGGCAGCCAAAGGCCATGGCATGGATTTCTCCTGTGCTGCATGAAATACAAGGCCCAGCATGCCCTCCACTGATGGAGATGTCTCCCAAGCCCCACAGATGAAAGGGAGCTGTATGTTGATCTGGGATGCTGAGACAGACTGGACACCTGGCAAGACTGGCTCCCATGTGTAACAAGGGAATCCAGTCAGCCCAAGGTAGAGGAAAATCACCAAATGTGGGTCTGTGAGCCCAAAGCAGCCACTGTGATCACAAACATGCAGGTGGAAGGTGCCAGCGTGGAAAATGAGATGGAATTCTGAAAACTCTAAATCTGTGCTTCTGGAACAGGGTGACTGTGCCCACAGGGTTTATGGCAGCCTGCCAAAAGCAGACAATGCCACAGAAGAAAGTGGGTGCCACAGTCCTGCAGCATCAAGCAGGATGAAGGATGGCAGGGTTGGGAGGGGAAATGTATAATGAAATAGGACAGAAACAGGTCTCAGAGGAGAATGTAAAATCTGACTGTCAAGAATACAACACCAGATGTCAAAGAAATGTCCTAATTGAACCTGGCCACTTTGAGCCTGAGGCCTCTGGGGCATTCCATTCCTCTGCATTAAGGGCAACCTACAGAAGTGTAGAGGTCTGGCTCTCAAGAAACCCTTAGCTCCATTAGTTTCATTGATTCCAGAAATTGTTTTTGAGGTCTTATTATGTGCCAAGCTCATTTCCATCCCTGAAACTATCCATGGGGGGCGGTGGTTTTTAATTCAAAGCATACCATGCTGAGGGTGTGTATACTCGGGAGACCTCACCTGCTGAGGGAAGTGAGGGAAGGTTTTCACAGGGATGTAGAGCCTGAGTGATGTTTACCCAGAACCAGGTGGGCAGCGGGAGGGAGTGAGAAGTGATCCAGGTAGAGGAAACAGCAGGTGCAAAGCTCTATGACAGGAGGGGGCCTGGCCAGTGTGGCTGGAACCCAGGAAGTGATGAGGAGAAAGGCACAGGTCAAAGAGGCAGGAACTCGAGGGTTGCTGTTTATCCTAAGACTGCCGGTAAATCACGGGTGATGTTAAGTGGCAGGGTGGCATGGCAGAACTGTGTTTTAAGATCATCCAAGTAGCAGCGAATTAATACAGTAATCAATACCAAGGCAGACAGACAGATGGTCAAAGCTATGCTGTGAGTTTAGTGAGGCCTCTTTGGAAGGTGCAAACCCCAAGAGGGCTATGCCCAGGCCTGGTGACACACAATAGGTCCTGCTTAGGACCAAATCAAGCTGTCACATTTCAAAACACCTCTAAGAACAGTGGTTGCTACGGTTCCCCTCCCAGTCCATTCAGATCCCCCATACTGAAAGCAGGAGACAGGAGGTTAAGGGCACAGACTGGCATTACACAGTTCTGGGCTCAAATCTTGTCTGCCATATACTATCTGGGCAGGCCCAAACCGGCTTCTTCACCTCTCTGTGCCTCTGTAAAGTGAGGTATACTAAGAGTATCTCTCTCCTAGGGCCACTGTGTGGATTAATTGAGACAAGCTGCTAACATCCTTATTACTTGGTCTGGTACATTATAGATGCTAAAAAAATGTTGCATCTAAAAATGTTGATGCTAAAAAGCACTCGGTGAAGGATGAATACAGAAGACCTGCAAAGATCATTGAGATGTAAAGTGATTTGGAAGCAGCCAGGTGCACTGACGTGAGGAAACCGCACAAGTGCAGAGGAAGACATAGGTTTTCGCTTACTTGCAAGTAGGAGGCAGGAGATGGCCACGGTGTAGAGCTGCTTGGAGGTGGTGACATTGTAGCGATCCATGAAGTGGTCCAGCAGGTAGACGGACAGGTGCCGGGCTGCAGGGCAGAGCTGGCAGTGGCTGCTCAGTAGGGTCAGGATGTCCACGAAGAACCGGCGGCTCTTCAGCAGTGGGGAGTGGGCTCGGAAGGAGGGCAGCTTCAGTTCCTGGAGGGCAGGTGGGGCGGAAGGGTGGGTCAGGGCTGCCTCCCCAGAGTCTCAGCGGTTCCAGGAAATGGGACCTCAAGGCCTGCCTGCTGACTGAATGGGAGGTGACGATTCCCTCCATACGCTGATTAGTTTTCCTGCAAGTCCCAGGATGGCAGCCCCTCCTGGGCTATCTCCCGTCTGCTTTCACTAAGCTCAGGCTCAAAAAATATCAGGGGCTTAGAGGATGAGCGAGGAAGCCAGTCATTCCTTCCCAGGGGAAAGGTCTGCTATTTGAGATACACAAGGCCATAAAGGAATAAAGGCCTTGAGGTCAGAGGTCTAAGTCCAAATGCTCCCCTGCGTTCACCCAGGGTCTGATCTGAAGTAACACTTCCAAATTCTGGTTCCACTACACAGCCAACTTGTGTGACCCTGCTCACCTGCCATCATCTTTGCTTCCTCCTCAAGAGCTGAGAACCAAGTTTAAAATGTATGCAAATGTTACCACACCTGTGACCTTTCAGGGTCCACATGTAATTCTTTCTAAGGGCAGGATTACGAGGGATGGGTTTTTGAAAAAAATTAACCTAAACATGTTGTTGAAATAATAGTACAAGGACTCCCAAATACCATTTACCTCAATTCCCTAATTTTTGACATTTGTCTTCTTTCTTTCTACATGCATATACATTTTTTTCTAATAGTAAGTTCAGACATCATGATACTCCCCACGCCCCCGAGAGGCGGCTAGATGAGTTTTACTTCTACCTTGCAATTTATATACTGCCACATTACTGAACTCAAGAAAAACTAATAAAAGAAATATCAAACCAACAAAGATTTTTACAACATAAAAATGATCTTATATGCAGTATCTATCATATTTACCATATAATCAAAGTAGATTAGACACTATTTGGGTTTTTTTAAGATTTTTTTTTTTTTTTTTTTAAGAGAGGGGTCTCCCCCTGTTACCCAGGCTGGAGTGCAGCGGTGCAATAGAAACTCACAGAAGCCTTGAACTTCTGGGCTCAAGCAATCCTCCCACCTTGGCTTCCCAAGTAGCTAGGACTACTGGCGTGCATCATAGCACCCAGCTAGTTGTTTTTGAATTTTTTTGTAGAGTCAGGGGGGTCTCATCATGTTGCCTGGGCTGGTCTCAAACCCCTGGCCTCAAGTGATCCATCCCACCTTGGCCTCCTAAAGGGCTGGGATGACAGGCCTGAGCCACCAATTCCAGCCTAGACATTATCTGTTTAGGAAATGTCGTTGTAACATTTTGCCAAAGAAGGAAACTAAAAAGAGTTAAAATTGAAGGAAAACAGGAAATAAGTTAACAGAAAAGGAATGTGAATACTCATTAATGGCAGGCTCACAGGGAGATGAGACTGAAATAAATTGGTGCCCTTCTTCTATACAATGCCTCCCGGGTTCAAGCAATTCTCTGCTTCAGCCTCTTGAGCAGCTGGGATTACAGGCACCCACCACCACACCCTGCTAATTTTTGTATTTTTAGCAGAGATGGGGTTTCACCATCTTGGCCAGGCTGGTCTTGAACTCCTGACCTCTTGATCTACCTACCTCAGTCTCCCAAACTGCTGGGGTTACAGGCGTGAGCCACTGCCCCTGGCCCTAATGCCTCTCTCTTAACCCTGGGGCTTACTTAACCAGCAGCAGATCCAGGACTAGAAAGAGGTATCTGCTTAATCATTTATTCCTTCAAGAGCTATTCATTCATTTATTCACTTCACTCAATAAGTACACGTACCTTCTCTACACTAGCTGTTATTCTAGGCACTGGGGATACAGTATGGAATAAGTTAGACACAGACCAAAATATAAGACTTACAATTGGCCGGGCGCGGTGGCTCAAGCCTGTAATCCCAGCACTTTGGGAGGCCGAGGTGGGTGGATCATGAGATCAAGAGATCGAGACCATCCTGGTCAACAAGGTGAAACCCCGTCTCTACTAAAAATACAAAAAATTAGCTGGGCACGGTGGTGCGTGCCTGTAAACCCGGCTACTTGGAGGCTGAGGCAGGAGAATTGCCTGAACCCAGGAGGCGGAGGTTGTGGTGAGCTGAGATCGCGCCGTTGCATTCCAGCCTGGGTAACAAGAGCGAAACTCCGTCTCAAAAAAAAAAAAAAAGACTTACAATTATAAAACTCTTTTTTTCTGAGATAGAGTCTTGCTCTGTCACCCAAGCTGGAGTGCAATAGCATGATCTTGGCTCACTGCAACCTCTGCCTCCCGGGTTCAAGTGGTTCTCCTGCCTCAGGCTTGCGAGTAGCTAGGACTACTGGCGTCTGCAACAATGCCCAGCTAATTTTTGTATTTTGAGTAGAGACAGGGGTTTCACCATGTTTGCCAAGATGGTCTCAATCTCTTGACCTTGTGATCTACACGCTTTGGCCTCCCAAAGTGCTGAGATTACAGATGTGAGCCACCACCACTGGCTTCGATTATAAAACTCTTAGACGAAAACAGGAGGACATCTTCATGACCTTAGATTAGGCAACAGTTTCTTAGATATGACCCTAAAAGAAGAAGCAATCAAGGGAAAAATACATACGTTGAATCTCAAAACTTAAAACATTTGTGCTTCTAATTACACCATCTAGAAAGTAAAAAGACAACCTGCAAAATGGAGGAAAATATTTGAAAATCATTATGTTAATAAAAGACTGTATCCAGAACATATAAAGAACTCTTACAGCTCAACAGTAAAAAGACAAACAACCCAATTTAAAAATGAGCAGTGAACTGACCAACAAACATATGAAAAGGTGTCCAACATTACTAGTCATTAGGGAAATGCAAATTAAAACCTCGATAAGATATGACCTCGAACTCATTAGAATGGTTGTTGTAAAAAAAAAAAATCAATACAAAACTGAGCTGGGTTCGGTGGCTCACACGTAATCCCAGCACTCTGGGAGGCCGAAACGGGCAGATCACGAGGTCAGGAGATGGAGACCATCCTGGCTAACATGGTGAAACCCCACCTCTATTAAAAATACAAAAATTAGCCAGGTTTGGTGGCAGGCGCCTGTAGTCCCAGCTACTCAGGAGGCTGAGGCAGGAGAATCGCTTGAACCCAGAAGGTGGAGGTTGCAGTGAGCTGAGATTGTGCCACTGCACTCTAGCCTGGCAACAGAGGAAGACTCCATCTCAAAAACAAAACAAAATAAAAAACAAAACTGAAAATATACAAGTGCTGGATAGGGCCAAATTGGAACCCTCATATACTACTGGTGGGAAAGTAAAATGGTGCAGACACTGTGGGAAAGTCTGGCAACTCCTCAAAACGCTAGGGTTCTCACATGACCCAGCCATTCCAGTCTTTGGCATATACCTAAGAGAAATGAAAACATACAGCTGCACAAAAACTTGTTTATGAACACTCACATCAGCATTATTCCTAACAGTTCCCAAGTAGAAACAACTCAAACGCCTATCAACTGATGAATGGATAAACAAAATGTAGTATAACCATACAATAGAATATTTTTTTTTAGATTTTTTTTTTTTTTGAGGTGGAATCTAGCTCTGTTGCCCAGGCTGGAGTGCAGTGGCACCATCCCGGTTCACTGCAACCTCCGCCTCCCGGGTTCAAGCAATTCCCCTGCCTCAGCCTCCCGAGTAGCTGGGATTATAGGCTCCCAGCACCACATCTGGCTAATTTTTGTATTTTTAGTAGAGATGGGGTTTCACTGTGTTGGTCAGACTGGTCTCGAACTCCTGACCTCGTGATCCACCTGCCTTGGCCTCCCAAAGTGCTGGGATTACAGGCGTGAGCCACTGTGCCCGGCCTCATACAATAGAATATTATACATGTTACAATAGGGATGAATCTTGAAAGTATTATGTTAAGTGAAAAAAGCCAGTCATAAAAGGCCATGTATTATATAATTCCATTTATATGAAATGTCCAGAATAGGCAAATCTATACAAACAGAAAGTAGATGACTGGTTGGCAGAGGTTAGGGGTAACAGTTAACGGGAAGTAACTGCTAACAGGTATGGGGATTCTTTTTGGAGTTATAAAGCTGTTCTGTCATTAGATAGCAGTGATGGTTGCACAGCTCTGTGAATATACAAACAACTAAACTGCACATTTTTATTAATTTTGTGGGTGCATAGCAGGAGTATAGATTTGTGGGGTACATGAGACATTTTGATACAGGCATGTAATGTAAAGGAACACTTTTACACTGTTGGTGGGAGTGTAAATTAGTTCAACCATTGGGGAAGACAGTGTGGCGATTCCTCAAGGCCTTAGAAATAGAAATTCCATTTGACCCAGTAATCCCATTACTGGGTATATACCCAAAGGACTATAAATCGTTCTACTATAAGGACACATGCACACGAATGTTCATTGCAGCACTGTTTACAATAGCAAAGACCTGGAATCAACCCAAATGCCCACTGATGATAGACTGGATTGGGAAAATGTGGCACCATGGAATATTATTCAGCAATCAGAAATGATGAGTTTGTGTCATTTGTAGGGACATAGATGAATCTGGAGAACATCATTCTCAGCAAACTAACACAAGAACAGAAAATGAAATACCGCATATTCTCACTCATAGGCGGGTGATGAAAAATGAGAACACATGGACACAGGGAGGGGAGTACTAAACACTGGGATCTATTGGGGGGAAAAGGGGAGGGCCAGCGGGAGGGGGAGCTGGGGAGGGATAGCCTGGGGAGAAATGCCAAATGTGGGTGAAGGGAAGAAAGGAAGCAAAACACACTGCCATGTGTGTACCTATGCAACTGTCTTGCATGTTCTTCACATGTACCCCCAAACCTAAAATGCAATAAAAAATTAAAAAAAAAAAATAAATAATCACATCATGGAGAATGGGGTATCCATTCCCATAAGCATTTATCATTTGTGTTACAAATAATCCAATTACATTCTTTTAGTTATTTTGAAATGTACAATTAAGTTATTATTGATGATAGTCACCCTGTTGTGTGATAAAATAATATGTCTTATTCATTCTTTCTATTTTTTTTTTTGTCCCATTAATCATCCCCACCTCCCCCATAACCCTTACTACCTTTCCCAGCCTCTGGGAACCATCCTTCTACTCTCTATGTCCATGAGTTCAACTGTTTTGATTTTCAGCTTCCACAAATAAGTGAGAACACACTGAGTTTGTCTTTCTATGCCTGGATCATTTCACTTGACATAATGATCTCCAGTTCCATCCATGTTGCAAATGACAGGATCTCACTCTTTTTTATGGCTGAATAATACTTCACTTTGTATATGTACCACATTTTCTTTATCCATTCATCTGCTGACGGACAGTTAGATTGCTTAATTGCACATTCAAAAAGCTAAATTTTGGCTGGGTGCAGTGGCTCGCATCTGAAATCCCGGCACTTTGGGAGGCTGAGGTGGGTGGATTGCTGGAGTTCAGGAGTTTGAGACTAGCCTGGACAACATGGCAAAACCCCATTTCTACAAAAAATTATAAAATTAGCCTGGTGTGGTAGTGCATGCCTGTAGTCCCAGCTACTTGGGAGGCTGAGGTGCGAGGATCACTTGAGCGCAGGAGGCAGAGGTTGCAGTGACTTGAGATTGTGTCGCTGCAGTCCAGTCTGGACGACAGAGCCAGACCCTGTCTTAAAAAAAGTGAATTTTATGATATGTGAATTATTATTATTATTATTTTTTTGAGACGGAATTTCGCTCTTGTTGCCCAGGCTGTAGTGCAATGGCGCGATCTCGGCTCACCGCAACCTCCGCCTCCCGGGTTCAGGCAATTCTCCTGCCTCAGCCTCCTGAGTAGCTGGGATTACAGGCATGCACCACCATGCCCAGCTAATTTTTTGTATTTTTTTTAGTAAAGACGGGGTTTCACCATGTTGACCAGGATGGTCTCGATCTCTTGACCTAGTGATCCACCCGCCTCGGCCTCCCAAAGTGCTGGGATTACAGGCTTGAGCCACCGCACCCGGCCGATATGTGAATTATTATATCTCAAAAAAGCTGCTATAGAAAAGGTAAGACAGCCGTATCACCCACAGTCATGGAGTCCACCACGGTCCAACGAGGGAGAGAGGTGGTAATCCAGCAACAAGACAGTTGCAGAATTCCAAATTGTGACGAGCAAACACTACAAAGGAAAGCCACAGACGCTCTGGGAGGCTCCGCAGTCTCTGTAGGGAGGGAGGCCTGCCTCCTGCAAGGAGACTTGAGCTGAGATTTCACACTGATTCCTTCTCCTCTGACTTGACCCTCCGGAGAGCCCAGAAGTCAGGACAGCTATTTTCACAGTCCTGGAGCTTTTCTCATGGAAGGTGCTCAAAGCTAATAAATTATTTCTTCTCCCTTATGTTTATATATGAAAAAATTCCGTTTCAAAACATCCCCGAGTCCCTGAGCTTTATCTAACTAGCAAGGATCTGAATTAGAAGACTTTCAAAGTATCCCCTTATTCAATTTTTTAAAAAATTGCTTGGGTTTACCAGAATTTTTTTTTTTTTTCTTTTTTTAAGTCATGGAGCTTGGCTGAGCATGGTGGCTCACACCTGTAATCCCAGTACTTTGCGAGGCCAAGGCATGTGGATCACCTGAGGTCAGGAGTTCAACATCAGCCTGGGCAACATGGTGAAACCCCCATATCTACTAAAAATATAAAAATTAGCTGGGTGTGATGGCACGTGTCTGTAATCTGAGCTACTCAGAAGGCTGAGGCAGGAGAATCACTTGAACCTGGTAGGTGGATGTTGCAGTGAGCTGAGATCACACCACTGCACTCCAGCTTGGATGACAGAGAACGACTCCGTCTCTAAATAAACAAATAAGTCATGGAGCTCTTTTAGTCCCAGCTTACCTTCTTTAAGGAAAATAACTGATGTGCTTGTGTATTCTTCATCTTCATGATTTGATGAATTTATGTGGCCACCATGGAGTTCAAACTCCTTGAGGGCAGATCTGGGTCTCCTTTACACATCACTATTTCCTCAGCACCCCAGTGTGACAAGAACAGGATTTGGTGCCTAGTAACTAACTGTTGAAGGAAAGAAGGGGTGGGAGGGAGGGAGAGGCAGTAAAGAAAGAAAGGAAAGAATTGCAGTGGTGGATACAGAAGGTCGTGGCCTACAGAGGGAAGTAGTGACCAACTCCACAGAGAAGCAAGTCCGTGGGAACTTCAAAGAAGACCTAAGTTGAAGATTGAGCCAAGTTTTAAAAATTTACCTGTTGAAGATGCAGGAAAGGTAAGAATCTCACTAGGATAAACAGCAGCTGTAAAGCCACATAAGTGTCCTATCTGGGTAACAGCCAGCCAGGCAGGGTGTGCCTAGACACAGGCTGGAAATGCGGCAGGGGCCCGGCTTTCGTGCTGTTAAGAAAACTGCCTTGCCCTACCCTGAGGGCAATACTAACTGAAGGGATTAGAACAGGGCATCCGCCCTATCTGAACAGCCTTGCACAGAGATCTTTCGGACAGTTTCTTCCCAAGGTAAGGCTAAATAGTTGGTAGCAGCAGCCAGTGTGGGGCTCTGCAGCTCCCCTCAACAGTGCTCCCACCTTCCATCAGCCCTCACAAGCTTGCAGGCTATGTGGGTATTTCCTCTAAGCACAGGGCTCTAAGTTCAGGGTCATGACAAGAAGCAGCCACAGCCACAGATCCTTGATGTCTGGTAGGCTGCAGCTGCCGGAAATTAAGCCTTAGCCAAGTGACCTTTGGCCAGGCCACGCTGCCTTCATCAGTGCAGTCCAAAACCCCACAACACAGGTCAGATAGGCAACGTCTTGACTTCCCTCCCCATTCAACTCGCCAAAGTCAAAGCCTTCTAGATTTTCCCTTGAGCCAAGTGAGAGAAGAGAGCTCAACACACAGAACGTCTTTCCTGTACATGTTCCTGGGAAGAGGGTCCTTTACCTTGAGCAGATTCTCAAAGAGAGACATTGGTGCATAAAAGAAAATGTTATGGACCAGGTGCAGTGGCTCATGCCTGTAATTCCAGCACTGTGGTAGGCCAAGGTGGGCAGATCACTTGAGGCCAGGAGTTCAAGAGCAGCCTGGCCATCATGGCAAAACCCTGTCTCTACTAAAAATACAAAATTAGCTGGGTGTGGGGGTGCATACCTGTGGCATCAGTTACTTGGAAGGCTGAGGCATGAGAAGCGCTTGAACCCAGGAGGCAGAGATTGCATTGAGCCGAAACTGTATCACTGCACTCCAGCCTGGGTGACAGTCAGACTCAAAGAAAGAAAAGAGAGGAAAGGGAAAGGGAAGGAGAGAGGGAAAGAAAGAGAAAGAAAGAAAGTAGAAGAAGGAAGGAAGGAAGGCAGGCTGGCCAGGCACAGTGGCTCACACCTGTAATCCCAGCACTTTGGGAGGCTGAGATGGGTGGATCACAAGGTCAGGAGTTCAAGACCAGCCTGGCCAAAATAGTGAAACCCCATCTTTATATGAAAAAAAAAAAAAAAGAGAGAAAGAAGGGAATGAAGGAAGGAAAAGTTATGGACAATTGGAATGCGCAGCAGTACATGTCAAGAAGGGCTTAGTAGGGACAGCATGCTGGAAGGGGCTAATCTCAAGAGGACAGGATTTTGAAGCTAGAACACTGGCTTCCTGGGATGCTCTCTCTCCCCAGTTCCTCAAATATTGATTTAAATGTCACTTCCTAAGAGGCCTTCTCTGACCTCTCTATCATTCCAAATCAGGTTCACCTTATCCTCTCTTTTAGTAATCTCCTGTTTGTGGCCAAAAATTTACTTGTTTATGTAGCTGGCACAGATGCAGGTGTTCAATAAATATGTACTGAATAAAAAAGAATAAATGCAGAATCACTTCCTGTACCAACCACCTCACCTCCCGCCCCCGTACACTGGGGATTAGCTTGATACATACAGAGTGTGAGGTCAGGCAGTTCTGGGTTGGAATCTCAGTTCCACTCCTTACTAACCTTGGGCATGTGAACTGACCCTCAGTGTCCTTATCTGAGAAATGGCGGTCACGCTGCCATAAATGTAGCGTGTTTGGTGATAACAGCAGCTCAGCAAGCATAGTGGCCCTTCCCCTACCCTCAAGCTGCGGAATCAAGTCTCAGGGTTGAGTTGATCTACCTCTGTCAAAGGCTCTTTGGGCTTTCAAAGAAACCTGCTTTGAGGAAAGTGCAATGAGGCTTTCTACCTTAGAGCAGAGGCGCCTCTGCGTGGAAGGACACCTGTCTATCAGCGTGTTCTCTGCAGAGCCCCCAAACCAAGTAGAGATAGCAGCTGTGAGCCTCAGCTTGTTCTCCTCACTGGGAAAAGGGAGATTCTTTGGCATATAAATAACATAGGGCTGCAGCATGCTTTTCCTGTGTAGTTTGAGAGTCCCGATGATCACTTTGCTAACCCAATTAGGGGGTGCGGGGAAGGCATTCATAACAAGGGCTTTGCTCTAAGGGTCTGCATTCCTCCCCAGACACTCTTGACCTAAGTCCCCTCGCTCAGAGGCAGGCTGCAGCAGCAGTGCAGTAAGCCAGCCCCTCTGCGGAGTGGCCTGGATTCCAGAAACAAAAGAGCAGCCCGCCCTAGGGTGGCTTCTAAAGCTCTCTTCAGATTAGACTGGCGCTTGGCAGGCACTCAGCAATCAGGCAGACGTTGGGCGGGCAGGAACTCGGCCAGGCAGGGTGACCTTCCTGTCGGCATGCCTGGCAGGGCCATAGGCAGCATGAGTGTGGGCAGCAGCAAGGCTGTGGGGAGGCTTGAGAAGAAGGGGGCTGAAGTAGGAGAGGAGGGAAGGGCAGAGGCTTCTTGATTACTCTCCCTCCCCAGATGTTGGCCCTTGATCACCTGAGTCGGGGAAGCCCATCTGCTGCAGGAGTATCTAGGGGTGAACAGGTGGAGTCGTGGACAGATGGCCATGGGGGAATTCCGGGAACAAGAAATCCACCTTACAAAAACCCCTGCTTTTGTTATCATCATCCTTCATTATTATCATTATTATTATTATTATTTGTAACATAATAGCTAGGTGCTAGAAAAAAACCTAGAAGATATACATCAAATTTTTTTTTTTTTTGAGACAGAGTCTCACTCTGTTGCCCAGGCTGGAGTGCAGTGGCGCTATCACTGCAACCTCCACCTCCCCATTCAAGCAATTCTCCTGCCTTAGCCTCCCGGGGAGTTGGGATTACAGGCCCCACCATGCCTGGCTAATTTTTGTATTTTTAGTAGAGACAAGGTTTCACCATATTGGTCAGGCTGCTCTCGATCTCCTGACCTCAGGTGATCCACCCTTAACGGCCTCTCAAAGTGCTGGGATTACAGGTGTGAGCCACCATGCCCAGCCTACATCAAAATACTAACAGTGGCTACGGAGGGGAGGTTGGGGTGGGCACTGATACCTCACATGATTTTCACAATCGTGCTTTTCAACAGGCTGAATTTTTAAAAAATGTTCAATGCATAGCCATTTTGTTACTTCAGTTACTATGCTTTCAGTTTGGAAACAAACAAACAAAATGACTAGATACCCAATGTATTAAGGCCCAGCTCAAAATTTATCCCCTAGGATTTCCTGGCCATCCCACATCATCCCTTGAACAAAATCAGCCCTGTCACAGCAATACCCCATGCCCTGTAAGCATCTCACTTCATCTTCGTGCAATGCAAAGCCCCTTCCAGAAGGAATTTTCCTTTTCACTAATTATACATTATATGTTCACCGATGAATCTTAAAAAGTAGAAAAGAATAACTAACATCATTCATAATCCCTCACTTAGAGGGATTCAGAGAGAAGTACTATTAGGTTCTACCTGGATTCTTCAGAGGTTTCTCTGTGCAAACTCTCATGAAATGCCATCACATTCTACAACTGCTTCCCACTTCCCCCTCAGAGAGCATGGAAAACAATGTTTGCAAGGGCTGCCTAGTTTTTCACAGTAAGGCTGAGCCATGATGTCATCAAAACCAGATTTTGGGCATGTGGGCTGTTTCTCTTCCTTCAGGTCCCTGTTCAGACTGTTCCTCTGAGGCCATCCCTGATCTCCCTGCTACCCAGCAGCCACCACCAGCCGTCACTGGACATTGAAGCGTGTTTAGGAACCGTCCTCCCACCCCCTAGAGAAGGGGGTCTCCGTGAGGGAGGGAGCTGCTTTTCTCTCCTGCTCTTGGCTGTACCCTCAGTCCCTGGCACACAGTAAGGGCTAATGAGTAGCTGCTGGCTGAGTGAATGGACGTTTGAATAAATGAAGTGTTTTGGGGAAGCTTCCCTCTGCCTGTGACCCTCTACGCCCTCCCTTCCCCTCAGGGCTCCCTTACCTAACCCGGGCTTCCTTCCCTAGGGTAACCCAAGGCAGGGGTCACTGCCCCGCCCCCAAGTGGGAAACCCCCACTGTGACGTGTGAGCCAGCATTTCTGAGACCAGAGGAGCCATTTTGGGGGAAGGAGAGGTGGTTACCCCTTTAGAAACCACTCTCCTTGCTGCCCAAGAGTTTTGCCTTGGAGTTCTCAAGCAGAAAGAGGATTATCAGAGAGGGAAAGTGCCCTGGGAAAGGCCAAGGACTCATGAATCACAGCCCACATAAAACCTCAAACCAAGCTACACAGAGAGACAGAGAGGAAGCAGGGCTGCCTGGACAGGTCTGTGACGATTCCAGGTATGTGCCTGGTCCTTGGCTACTCTTCCCAACCTGCCTCCCCAGGTGCTGACCTTGGCAGAGTGGCAAACACTTCCCATACCTGTGCTGGGCTCACATGTGCCTGGGAGTGCAGGTGAGGCCAGGTGCAATGCAGTCAGTCACTCTAGACCCTGGGCCCACAGCCAGATGTGCAGGGCAGAGACTGCCCCCAAGAGACCCATACTATCACTGCTGCAGGAAACGGGGGAGTACAGGTGGAAAATTCAGCACGTGCTCTTCACACGCAGGCTCTGAAGGTATTTTGAGGCTAACCTCAGAGGGGTCAGAAGGTGACGTGTACTGTGAAAATTCTGCCAGGCACCTTGGTTTCTTATATTATGGGTGGAAGTGAAGTCCTCAGTTTAACCTTTAGTGTCCTGCACTGCATTATTTTCTTCTAATTGCCTTGAGGTTTTACTTCTAATTATTAATCCATTCTTCCTTCAGATCTCAGCTTGAAAGTCACTTCTTCTTCTTTTTTTTTTTTTGAGATGGAGTCTCACTCTGTCACCCAGGCTAGAGAGCAGTGGCACGATCTCAGCTCGCTGCAACCTCCACTTCCTGGATTCAAGTGATTCTCCTGCCTCAGCCTCCTGAGTAGCTGAGATTATAGGTGCATGCCACCACACCCAGCTAATTTTTGTAATTTTCAGTAGAGATGGGGTTTCACCATGTTGGCCAGGCTGGTCTTGAACTCCCGACCTCATGTGATCCGCCCACCTTGGCCTCCCAAGTGTTGGGATTACAGGCATGAGTCACTGCGCCCAGCCTAAAAGTCACTTCTGAAAAAGATGTTTCAGGCTTATGCTTCTGTGAGATCCTCCCCAGGCACCTAGGACTTTTTATGTACTCATTCATTTGTTCTTACTGTCCTCCTGCCTGCTAGACTGTAACCACCATGAGGGCAGGGACTGGGCTTGTCTTGTTCAGCTCTATGACCTTAATATCTGATACAAAAGGAACACTTGAAAATTACCAAAACCTCTAAATTTCAGGAATGGCAAATACTTGAACAGGAGGGAAAACAAAGTGATTTGTTCCTGATCTTAGACTGTATAAAACTATTTAATCATAATGAGCAATTCCCAGTACTCATGAAGACCAGCGAGGAGGCACAAGAAACAGGGCAGGGGCCAGGTAGGATGACTCACAGCAGTAATCCCAACACTTTGGGAGACTGAGACAGGAGGATAGCTTGATGAGAACAGCCTGGGCAACATAGAAACATCCCTTGAAAAGAAGGAAGGAAGGAAGGAAGGAAGGAAGGAAGGGAGGGAGGGAGGGAGGGAGGAAGGAGGGAGGGAGGAAGGAGGGAGGGAGGAAGGAGGGAGGGAGGAAGGGAAGAAGAAAGGAAATTGAGGGAGGTGGATTCCAGCAGAAGAAAGAGAAAGCTTTGTCTTTGCCTTAGGGTGACACATGCCTCAGTCTACCCAAGAACAACAGTGGGTTTCCATGGAGGAAGCAGGTCAGTGTTTATGGAGAAATGGAAGCTTCAGAAATTATAAACTGTGCACCTAGCAGTCATTTTTCAAAGGCAATGCTTCCCAGTGTGTGTTCTGTGAAACACCGGTTTCAAGATATGCTCCCTGAAACAAGGGGTTCTGTGGGCCCCAGTTTGGCGAAACATTGCACTACATTGCTCCTTCCTAAAAGGAAGCCTATATTAGCCCAGTAGAGGTCCTGAAACATTTGTTCAGCAAAAAACTAATATAACTTTGGGAAACTGTAGGTCGAAT